CACTGGCAGTGATATTGTAGATTCTACAGTAGGTTAGGCACATCAATTGTCAGTACGACATCATAAGTATGTGGAACTAAAAGATTGCACTACCAAATTGGTCGAATCTGTGCGTCTGTCAATCCGGCAGCGTTCCCCCCACCCTGCCGGGTGGTTTTACATCACACAGGAGGTCTTGGCTTCAGCAAAAAGTGGGAGTCACTAGCCATGACGAATGAGCAGCCGTACGAGGTTCTCCGGGTGGCAGCGAGCTCTGGGGACTCGAGCAGGGCCGGCGCCCCGCTCGACATTTCGAGCGCTGTCTGTGTCCGCGTGCTTCCGGAAATACAGTCCTTTCCAAAATGGCATCACCTCTCAAACCTAGTAACCTATGATAATGACTTAAGTACGAACGATATGCACCGTTCTAGTAGGCCTACCCCTGATGCTGGTGTTCCAATGAATATACTCAAGACAAGTCTAATTCCGGCCTTTAATAGAACCTACGCCACAATACCAGTAGTTTCTTTAAGTAACAATACAGCGACCAACACTGTCATATTATGTGCCAATCACCTCCTTAAAAAAAGAGGGATTCTGGAGGTTTCCAGAACTGTCAAAACTTATGACTTCCGAGGCTGGAGTCCGACGCAGTGCCTTTCCGAAAATTGCACCTGCAAACCGGCCTCGAATTGACCACTTCCCTTACAGGATAAGAAATCAGGTGATTTTGGCCCATAGTGAAACCAAGTGTCTTCATACAAAATTCAAGTCATGTGCACCAATAGGTGGATGGGCAACTTAGTTGCTAACCTCGTGGGGTATAATTCGTGGCTGTTTTTTTTTTAGGATGACGGTCGGCCAGCGGATCGCGTTTGATGAAGGGATGATTCCCATGAGAAGTAAGTATAACCCCATGCGCCAGTACCTGCGTGGAAAGCCACACCCTTGGGGAACCAAGTGTTTCCTGAAGTGTGATGCTGACAGCGGCTACTGCTACAGGTATGGTACGCTATTATTCCTGTATTCTACAGGATACCAACATACGGTGTTGACGTGTTATCATGTACAGGGCGGAAATTTACCAAGGTCGACTGAACAGTGATAGTGCTGACCTGAATCAAGGCCCAAACGCTGTACTTCGCAACATTGAAGAAGTCCTCGATGGGCTCCCGAAGCGACGACTTATTATTACAAACAGATTCTACTCCAGCGTACTGCTCTCCTCCATTCTCCTGCAACGTGGCCTATATCATGTCTGTACGATCCAGACCAACAGACGTGGTTACTGCAAGTCCTTACAAGCTAGCGAAGCGGCCGAAGTCCATTGTGCGAGGGTCGTACCGAATCGCTCGGTCCAAGGCAGAATCCAGCATAATAGCCGTGTCCTGGATGGACAACCGGCCAGTGCACTTCATCGCAACCGGCTGCAGTAAGCAACCAGCAACACTGTCGAGACGGGCAGGCGCCGAGATTGTCGAAGTTCCAGCGCCACAGCTTGTGAAAGACTATCAAGACGGCATGGGCGGTGCGGACATACATGATCAGCTACGATTGCAAAGATACTCAATCCAGGTCTGTTTTGCTGTTACATTTGTTATCCTGTACTCGCCACTATTGTGTGTCTGACCAAACGAATGCTATCCTGTATTTTACAGCGATCTATGAAAATGCGAAAGTATTATCTTACAATTTTTCTTGGGCTCATTGATATGGCGTTGATTAATGCGTACATCATCTATCGCCGTGTTCAAGCGGCTCGCGCGCCCGGGAAAGCTCCTCCGACACATGCAGAGTACATGAGGTTGATGCAGGTTGCATCATTGAGCGTGGGAGCCGCTGACTTTGAAGGCGACTTGTCTGTGAGAGGGTTGGCGGATTCGCCAGTGCCCCCATCACCAACTCCGCGCTACACGCTTCCAGGGCGCCATACGACAAGATAAGTGGAGATATACCGCATCACTCGCGGGAAAAACGGAAAGGAAACGAGGAAACGCCGTCAGTATGGCTGCAAGGTGTGCTCACTGCTTCGACCGGGGAAAAACCCTTGGGAGACGATTTTCTACTGTGTTGAGTGCGCTGAAGCAAAGACAGAGGGAGGGGTCGTCGACACTACAAACTCGAAGGGGAAAATTTACCCTTGCCAAAAGGTGAGGCAGCACGATCCAAGTGCTTCAACAAATTCGGCCACTTGTAGCACAATTTGGCGTGATCTTTGGCGCCGCGGGACAGCATTCCCCCAGGTCTCAAGGAGTTCAGGCTGCGTGCTGCATCCGGGCGTGACGTTCAGTGCGCCGATAGTGCAGTTAACGGCGCGGATGATAGTGACGGCGGTTCGAGTGTCAGATCTGTACGAAGCTCGAATAGTGATTAGTAGTGATCTCAGCGACTGTGTTACAGACACTGCAGTAAGATAGAATGAATGCAAACGATTTGTGAGTGAAGGTATTTGTTGATTTTTGACATTTTCTCTACAAACCTATGATCTGGATCCGGTAGGATACAGGGTAGCATGGATACGTGAAAGTCTGTACCCTGTACTATAGTCTCTAGATAATAAGAAACGATTGTGACTTTCACAATCCCCGCAAAAACT